AACAAAAGACATTTTTTCTCCAAAATCGCTGGACCTGCCTTCGCAAAAATGTAATAAATATCTTTTGAATTATCCAAATAATAAAAGATCTATTTTTGTAAAAACTGTCATTTTTGCACTTTTTATCCTATATCTTCCGTACGCTATCAATAGGAATCGAATGTTCTTTTGAATCATTCAAATCGGTTGATCCGCGCGCCCGAAATCGTGGACGAAAATTTGTAACCACACAATACACATATACACACATATCAATTTTTGCTCAGGTAAAATGTTCAAGAGATCTTGTAACATAAATATATATAAAAATTTTCATTTTAGATTTTTTTGCAATTACTGCAACTTACTGAAAGTTTTTTATTAAAAGCGCACAAATTAAAATTGAATCAAAAATAATAATTTTTAAAGATTATATTGGACCAACAAAAGACATTTTTTCAAAATTCCTTTTTCCTTTCCAAAATCGCTGGACCTGCCTTCGCAAAAATGTAATAAATATTTTTTTAATCATTCAAATCGGATTCTTTGTTTTTTTCAAAAACTGTCATATTTTCACTTTTTACCCCGTATCTCCGGAACGCCATCAATAGGAATCGATTTTTTTTGAATCATTCAAATCAACTGACCCATGCGCCCGAAATCGTGGACGAAAATATGTATCCACACAATACACAAACACATACATCTTTTTTTTTCAAGTGAATTGTTCAGGAGGTCCTGTATTGTAAATATATATAAAAAAATTAATTTTCGATTTTTTTGCGATTACTGTAACTTCACTTACGGGAAGTTAATGATTAAAAATGAAAAATGAAAATTGAATGTATCGAAAAATTAAATTGTTGCATAAACTAAATATACTTTTTTTGGTATCAGTATCCTTTCGATATCTCGGTATCCTTTTGTTTTAATTTTTATTTATTTTAGAAATTTGCCATCAAAGTTGGATGAAGAAAAAATAATTATTACCACATACTAATTTAAAACTTCTAACCAACGTTCCGGTTGTTAATCCTCGTAATCTCCATCGACACCATTAGAAAATGATTTCTCTCGCTTATGGAAATGTCAAAATAATAAATAGTCCTTCCGTCAGGTTTATTGCATAATATTATTTAGTTTTAAGTATAATTACTGTTTAATGCAAAACAAATCTAAAAACTTTAGAGGTCACATTTCTTCAAAAATATCAATTTTTTGTTCTGTAAGTAAATAAATACAGTAATAAAAAGCTCATTATCCACGCGTATTTATTTCTTACACGACGAGCAAAGAATTGAGAACACCCACGAAAGTACGTCTGTTCAAAAAGTACCCGGAATTTTCGTTTTTTCAAAAAAATATTTATTTATTCGTCTACATTAATGTGGTCCCCTTCAAAGTAGTCCCCCCCAGATATAATACACTTATGCCAGCGTTTTTTCCAATTTTCGAAGCACCCTTGATATTCACTTTTTGATATGTCCTTGAGCACTCTCAGCGATTTTCTTCAATCGAGGAAAACCGCCGTCCTTTCATGGGTCTCTTCAACTTTGGGAATAGGAAAAAGTCACACGGAGCCATATCTGGTGAATTTTTGCACTTTGCAACACTTTATTTCATTTTTTACGCAAAATTTAATACAAATTCTTTGACTTTTCAATTCTTCCATTGTAAAAATCGCCGAGCTCAGAAAAACACGTCGAACCTTAGCGACTACCACAGACAAAGTAAACAGTGAATATAGCTGAAAATTTCATCATAATTTAGGGGCATGTATACCAACACAATAAAAAAAAAATTTTGACAATCAGACACTCCAGACCCGCGAAATTTAATTATTAGTAATTCCGGGTACTTTTTGAACAGACAGTTATGATACGAAAAAATTTTAAGTAACATATTTGTAATAGTAGAAAAGTTTATCTAATGTTTAATCTTCAACATATAATTGAAAGTTGTTTGATAGGTATTCGATATAATAAAATATAATGATAGGATTGTAATAAAAAATAGTATCTTCAACAATGCAGCTATGAAATATTTAAAAGCAATAGAAAATCAATGTTGTGGTTTCTAAAAGAAAACTATTGAGAAAGTTGTCAATCAATCATCCCGGCTTGAAGAGGTTATGAATGAATGCCTTGGGAAACACAATTCGTCTATAAATTTTAGATAGAATATATTTGAAAATCCATTTGTAGATTTTTTTTGTAGTGCCATCATACAAAAATGTCTAATATCCAAGGCTATAGTATAATTTAGAGAAATTGAATTTATATTATTATCTTATAAAACTGCAAAGGGCTATTAGATATCAGGGCTATAAAATTTTGAGATTAATAAGGACTTCTAGGATTTTTGGATTCTATGCAGAATGCCATTATAAGCTGCAGAATAATTTAGGAAACTTTAATTATTTTAATCAAATTGTCACTAAAATAGCCCCTTTCGTCAATTGAAAGAAAACTAAAATAGTTATTTATTTTTGGCCTTGCAAAATTGTTGGAGAAATTTGAAATTAATTAAAGCTTCTAGGCTTTTCGAAAGCTAATATAATAATAAAGCTTTACATCAATATGATTTTTAATATGAAATAATAAGATATAATTAAAATCAAATATTTTGGCGACAATCGGTTGAATACAATTTTTGTTTTTGATATGAGATTATTATTACATTATAATTTTTTCATTCCTGAGAAGTATGTTCTTCATAAATGAGAAGTATATTAAGCTTTGTTTTTTCTAACTTTCCGATGGAGAAGTTTATGTTTTCACCAAAATTTGCTATTTTTATTTTTTCTCATCGTTTTAAGTTATTCTGAATCGTTTGATACTAACATTGGAAAAAGTATGTATTTGTACGTGTATATTTACCATATTTGCCACATTTATTCATTTGATCAAATTTTTATTTAGTTAAGTTTTAATTCAACTTTGCAGTTTATATAGATTTGTTAATTTATATTACAAAACGTATATTTTCTAATAGTAATAAGCGTTGATCCTAAGCAATAAAATTCTACTATATACTTTAATTTTATGACAAATTTCATATACAAAATTAATTGAGGGCTTCTTACTTGTCCCCATACTTAAAATATGGTGTGAAACTCATAGGAATTAATAAACGTTAGTTTATTCAATTTTTTTCTACTCTAAACTATTATGGACATCATAATCTTTTCCCAAAGCCTTAAAATTTTGATACATAGTAAATAGATAGTAATTTATATCTATCATCCTCGATTAATACTTTCGATGTCAACGATCGGAAACCTCGTGCAAAAAGCGTTCTATTGTCATTGCTAAATCGTTTGAGTAACAATAAATCAATGTCGATTTCTCATCGAAGGTTCGATATTACACTTTTGTATAGAATATTTCCGCCTTGACAAAATTCTAAGAGCCGATATAAAGAAATCGCAGAGAAACGACGGATATACTCGTAATTAAACGTATTTAAACTACCGTCAAAGGTGACGCAATAAAAACGTAGGTACGCGATTCACGGTTTTGTGATTTTTTACCGTTTCCGGGCACTAGATGTAATAATCGTAGGAATAAGAATTTGTATACATAATTCGTAATAATATACTGTATATACTCTAGCTGTAGGCTAGACGAATACTTATCACTTACATACTTACTTTATGAGGAAAAAAGTATCTGATTTTTTGCCAAAAAATAAACGATAACAAATTTGAAATGCCATAAAAAATCATCTATGCATGTCACCTGCTTACTCAAGTTTCTTCCATTGTAATTCCATAAAGAGTCAATCGGAATATTTATCATTTTGAGATACCATGAACTGGTTTTCCTATGATTAATACATACATAAATTGTTTCTTTCCAAAATGTATACATCTTATCCAACTCACAAAGAACTCAGATTTACTCTTCTGGGATTTTGATGAAACTTTCAAAGAAAAATTGAAATTTTTAAAAATTTATCAGCAACAAATAAACTTGAGTCAAAACGAAATCCTTAAAATATTACAAACCTCTGAGAAGTGGATTTATTTTGAAAACTAATTAATTAAATTAAAATTAAATATTTTATTAAACTAATTAAAGTTTTAAGAAATTAGGCACACTATTGTCAATTATTATCAGTTAGATTTGCCTAAAAAAATTATTATTTTTGAGCTTAATACTACTATAAGAACCAAGTAAAAGATCAAGAATTGTTAATTGTCTGATATTGGTAGCTTGCGATTTGTTCTGAATAATAATGTAAAGTAGAAGTCAATTTGCTCTTGATTTTGTAATTGTAATCAAAATTAACAACGTTGATTCGTTAAGTCCTATGAAGTATTTTTTGTAGGTTTTCTATACATAAATATTATTGTTAATACCTGTATAGTTTATATTATCTATTCAAAATCTTTTTATCATAAATACTCGGCATTTAAAACTTATTATTATCCATTGTTTTTCAAAGCATAAATGCAACATCTAAAACATTAAATAAAACCATTAATTTTAAATTAAAGTTTGTTACCGTTAATGCATTTTTAGTAATTTGCAGATGATAAATTAAATATCATGTGCTAATGATGTAAAACAATAGAATATTTTGGTTGTAACTTTCTGTTTTTAAACGTATTTAATTCTACAAATAAGCATGGGAATTTCACACAATTTCAATGATAAATTGTTGAAAAATGGTTTCAATTCAAGCGATAATTGGGAATTTGAAAAAAAAATATATATATTTATTTTTATGCGCTTTAAAACTACATTATTAAATTTATTGATATGTGAAAGAAAAAACAAAAAAAAATGTTTTTTCAATTAGTTATGAGCGTTTAAAAATTGATTAAATTCAAAAGTTAGTCATGTGACCGTTAACGGCTACCGTGCCTGTGACGTCACATTGTAATTGCAGCCACACAACAGCGCAGTGCCGTTACTCTATTAGTGCAGTTCTTACGACTATATTTTACGGAACTTGATAAACACGTGGTAAATTTTCTTTTAAAAACGATTTGTTGAAGTTAATTTAGTTCAACTATGTGTGATAAAGGATTTATAAAAGCAAATTCTGATAATGTTCCTAATATTGATATATTTATGGTAGCCGAACTTTTAAAAAATGATGTTCGGTTTAATTCTGCGGAAGTTCGAGACGCCAAGGCATTGATGTAATAAGTCTGTTAAAAAATATTATAAATCACAATATTTAAGTATTAATTTTATATTGAATTAAATTACCTAATAAATTAATTTTAGAGCATCGCGTGAAAGTTACGGCGACAAAGCTGTGGGTTATGCTCAACTTAGTCGTAAAAATGAAATTTGTATTTTAAAAGCACGTGTATCTCCAGAAAATCGAGTTCGAAGCAAAGCCTTTTTAGTTACATTAACAATTAATGAGTCAAAAATCACGCTCATCTTCGATATAATATATGTCACAAAAAACGCGTGGTACACTTTTTTGCCGAAGGGCAAAATAAACTTAAAGTGTAATGCTCAAATGCAACTGCAATTGTTAATGACAGGTAAAAGAAAGGAAATCTTTTGTGTTGCCGATCAAAACTTTGAAGACAATCAAAAATTTATGTTAGCGTATTGATATATGATGATGCAAACACTCAAGATCTCATTAAAAAATGTATAGTATTCTGGTTCAAAAATATATACTCAAAGCTGTTCAACTCTGTACAAAGTTAATAAAGTTAAAGTCTTAATTAGTTATTATTCAATATATTTTGATGATATGATACAAATGCAATAAACGATAAAGTTATAATAAATAAATAAAATAATAAATATATGAAATATACATTTAGCCATTTCTTTTGTCATGAAAATATTCTTAAATATTCTTCTTCTTATTCTTCTAAATTTATCTTGAAATTATAGGTTTTTGTAAATTAATTAGTGCTGCTGCGATGATAACAATGAAGTCTACAACAGCGATAACATTTTACATTTGACATTTTTTTATATATTTTTGAATATTTAACAATGACAGAACGATATTATACAAAGCTCAAAGCATAGCGCATGTTCAAAGCTGTATACTACTATGATCAGCCGTAACAGAATGACGTCACACGCGCTTGGCTTCGTTCGGGATTTGTCGGCGCTCTTCGGTACCGAATTCAAACTCAAATTTTAATTTGGTATAACTTTTTAATTATTGCGAGAAAAAGAAAAAGAAAAAAACTTTGTTATAAAACTTGTATATGATCTTTCCATTAAAAAAATAAAAAAAAATTATTCAAATACCTAATTATCTGCTTATTTTTTGGGATGATAATAAAATTTTGAAAAATTGAGAAATTGATCTAATTTTATTTGAAACTTGAATAAATTGTAATAAACATTCCGATAACTAGCCGATCGTATTTAGTTTTTTTGCTAATTTGTATAATTATTTAAATAGTGAATAAGTTTGGTAAAAAAAACTACCAAAGAGGTGACCTCGACGTGATATGAACATTCAACCTTATGATTACTTAATATACAAAAATATTAATTAATTTTAGACCACGATTCTTTATAAATTTTTGATATTTTAATTTATAAATTTTCGTGTAATCTATTTTAATAAATCCATTTTATACTTTTTGGGTCACCATCTATGCCCTTGATTTGAATTCGTTCATACATCAAGTTTAATAACAATTACAAATGATGTTTGGCACTTGAATAATTAATTTCCAGTAAGCACTTTTATTAATCGATTTCAAAACTAATATCATCATAAATAGACCATTAAATTTGCCTTACTGTAAGGAAAAGTAAATCATATCTAGTTTAGAACAATAAAACTTTCGCAAATGTGTTCTCACGATGTAGGAAACGTACTGATGTCACAATATTATTGTTTATACAAACTGCTCGATTAGGTTCTGTATCAGCAATTGCTTAATTAATAAATATCATTTGTTGTTAATTATCAAAAAAAACTGTATTAATTGATCTAGTTCAATATTATGTGTGTTAGGTTACACGATAAACTAAAATTAATTCAGAAGATTGATTTTGTTGAGTTTCCACAAAAGTTTGGTCACATCGTCATTCATTATTTTTACAGAAAGAGAAGATTGATTTTACATAATATATTTATATTGTTTTTGTGTGGTGAATTTTAACGTGCTAATTGATTATTTTGAGAAATTTAATGTTTGTTCAGAAATGATTAGTCCTTGCAAGATTTTATCTTACGTTTCTTTAAACAATGGTATGTGTTATGAAGTAATAATTTAAAATTTATTACCTAAAATTTGTATCTATAACAAATTAACATGCAACATCGATGATATCTCTTATGACCTAGTACTATAATTTTTATTTTATTTGTTTGCTTTAGATTAATTTATATCCTACTACTAAATCAAACAATATCGTTTTTAGCTTTGTTATTCAAATTATTACGTTGACCTTCCGCATTTCCTATTTTTTAATGTATAAATGTCTGGTTCAGTGAATCCATTATTCAAAAAAATAGCTTAGAAATGACAATGAATTTGTTACGTAAAAGTAGATATACCTTGAGGAAAAAATTGTATAAAAATAATTTTTTATTGGATCAGTTTATAGTTAGCATCAAAGTGCAAAATTTTTTGTGAAGAAGAATTTTTTGGAAGTAGTGTCGGGAAGATGATGCAACTTTACTTGAGGCAAAATACGACTTACTTCTATTTTAGATATATTTTTTAATGCCATTGTCGTTCTTTATTAATTAATATCTTGTGAACTTTAATAATAATTTTTTGCATTGCAATTAGAATTACATTATTTCATTTAAGTCTATTACAACAATAGTAATTTTTTTTTCTAATTACAAGCGATTATTCGAAATAAATTGAATAGGTGTTTTCGTTTAATTTTAATAAAATTCAAACAAAAGTTATCATTGTGTTGTTTTGTTAACAGAGATCTCTACAAAGTTTATAATCATGATCAGAAAAGTTAGAGGCGTAGAAATCGCAATTGACGAAGTAAGACCATGACGATATTTAATTACTCTTTGTGAACATTATGAATTTCAAATCTCGCGCCGTACCGTTACTAAGATATTATTACACTATGATATATATGTGTGTTGATGTCTTTCACTAGATTACTACTTGCTTGATGTCAGGGGAAAGAAAAACTTTTTGAAAAAAATAGTTACAAAAATATACATATTTAGTTCAACATTGCAGAAAATGCAGAAGGTTGTTCGAGGAGTTTGGACACCAAAGTTAAAATCGTTATAATTAGTTGACATAACTAGAATTATTAGGTCATAGGAGATACCATCTAAATATATATTACCAAAATTCAACATTTCAATAATGCCATCAAGACAGAAATTATACTACTTATTACACAACAAAATTGTAAAAGTTATCAAATGAATGCAATAGAAATAAAATGAATTTTCACTTAATAAAATAAATTTTATTGGATTTTTATGGATGTGCAAAAACTATTGATAAGTTGATGAAGTATGCAACATAATCCAGGATTTTTTTCCAAAACCTTCCCATATTTGCTTTTATGGATTTTGTTTGATAAAAGTTTAATTTCTTAATTAAACTAAGTCTTAATTTTTTCACATCTGATGCCTTTTCAACATGACATTTTAATGAAAAGTCTAACAAAATTCTTGTTACTCTAGTAAAATTTTTTTTCACCTCTCACTTATAGCTTTATTCTAAAAAGTTTCTTCTAAAATCTTTCCAGTCTGTTTTTTTAAGAACTTGATAAAAAGCGCATCATTTAATTATCCGATTTTCTCAATTATTCCCATTTTAGTATTTTGTGGTTGAAGAAAACTGTAACAAGATTCTAGAAAAATCTACTTATGACTTTTTCCTGGATTTGTAACATAATCCTGGATTTTCTTGAGATATTTTTCATTCTAACAAACTTTTATCTTTTATAGCTTTTTAGTAAATTTATGAAAAGTATAAGATGATACCAGATTATTTCCAAAAAATTTCCATCTCAAATAGATTTTTTGCGAAAGCTTTTATTTGAAATGTTAAAGAAAGGTGTAACATGGGATAAGATTTTTTGTCAAATATTTTTCCTCTATATATTCATCTTGTAACAAACAAATTAACAAATTAATTAACGAAGTAATTGATCAACAAATGAAGAAGTCGTAAGAATAGTGGGCGAAGCGAGGACTTTCCTGAGCACGATCCTGAAAAGAAAAGGAAACTGGATCGCACCCATTCTGCAAAAAGAGTGCCTCTTACACGACATCGTCGAAGGCAAAATAAATGGACTGAAGAGATTGGGAAGAAGAAGAATGCAGATGGTTGATGACTTACGCAAGAAGAAGAATTACAGAGAACTGAAAGTCGAAGCACAGGACCAGGAAGCATGAAAGCAGAAGATTCGAAAGAAAAATTTATAAAAAATGAATAATTGATTTTGTAGTGCTCTCCTACCATGGACCTGCCTTCGAGAAGACTACCATTTGTTATTATTTATCTTTTTATAATCCTAGAAGTTTCTCACCTCTGACTTTTATGACTTCTCAATTCAGTTTAAGAGTGAGCAACCGTTAGCCGCGCTTCCATATACTCGCGAGTTTACTACTCTCGAACCTGTTTTCCGAAATAACAGAACATTACTTACAAATAAACCCATATTGTATGGTTAATCATATCGTACGTTCCATATTTATTAATTGACCCACTGAATCCGTGAACTAATTATATTCGCATATGATTAAAATTAAATCACATCAACGAAACTGATTTGCATTTCAAATTACCGAATGTTATGATCTGATAATGACTCAATGGAGAAGAGATAACAAATTATTATGTCTATGATTCGGAAGATTCATTTATATTGAAAAAAAAAACACAGAATTTTGTTGATGATAAAATACTATTATTTTATTTGAATATGAGTTATTTAGAACGAAGCAGACTTACAGCCTGATTCATTATAATAAAATATTTTTGGGACTTTTCTGGTGTGTTCATCTCAAGTGACCCATTATACTTAATCATTTTATGCAACAAGTAATATTGTTTATTTCGTCCCCGAATTTTATAAGAATCTTGTTACTTTGAAGATATGAAACTCATTTATGTTGAAACGTTTTGCTAATAACAACCTGTCAATTTTATCAATCACAATTATTAATGATGTAATAATCAATCAATAACAGAAATCGATGAGATCAATTAACACTAGATGAGAAAGATGCTGAAGATAATTGGTTTGAAATATGTATAATTTACAGCATACACTTACAACTTTTTTCTTCAATAAGAGAGTATTAATAAAAGAAGAAAAGCTTTTTATTTGTTTTTATTTTCGATAATTACTGTATATAAATTTAATTATTAATTTTCCAGTTAAGTACGTATCCACAAACTTTCGAACTGTGCGTTTGCATGAACAAAAGCAATTAATAATTTAAAGAGATAATTGAGTACACACATAAAATTATCAGCACAAAAGTAAAAAGCGAATGTAAACGCATAAAAACAAATGCAAACACTTAGTTATATTAATAAATCAATAATCTCGTTTCTGTCCAAGTAAGTAGGTAAATCAACTTTCGTTTAAAAAGTGGTTCGATTTTCCAACGAGAC